CCTAACTTGCTGATCCTCAGTCTAGGTCACTGTGTGGAGAAGAATTCTGAGGTTCGCTCTGAGCTCGGTAAAAAAAAAGACAGTCTAGTCAATTAGTGAGGTTTGCCAAAGGCTGGGGAACAAAAGGTCAGCACAGAAGCTACACGTCTGCTATTTCTGCAAGTTGACCAATTTGTTATTTCAGCCACATGCCCCCTTGTGTCCCCTGTGTCAGGAATTGTGACCTCACTGCCTGCGGCAGAAGGTGTGGCCTGAGTTTTCTTTTGGGATTAACTAATTACCCTAGATAGGGATCAAGCTTATGACCTTGGCCTCATTAGCACCAGCCTGAACCTTGTAGCTGAGACATCATGTTACAGATCAGGCTGCTGGAAAAGCAGAAAAAAATAAGGCCCTTGTTCTTTGAAAATGGTAGCAACTCACACTGGGAAAATGACCATTAGGAGAAGGAAGAGTGAGTATGTGTCCCAGCTTAACCTCTGGTCACTAGATTTCCTCAACTCCCCTCTTCAGGGCTTGGGGATTAATGAAATTCACCGTGATCATGCTTCCCCTTGAATATACGCTGGCAAATGTTATCTGCTTTACAAGGCTGACAACGTACTATTTAGTGAGAAAACTGGGAATCATTTCCAAACTTTGTAATATGAGAAAATGACAGGAAAGCACAGGTTGATATCACTTACATGTGGAATCTAAAAATAATGGTACAAATAAACTTATCTATGGGAGTAGGAGCGAGGTTCAAGACGAAGGGGACATATAGATATATCTATATATAGATAGATATATATATAGTTATGACTGATTCATATTGTTGTATGGCAGAAACCAACACAAACTGTTAAGCATTATCCTCCAACTAAATAAATAAAGGATCAATGGCAATAAAACCCAACTCAAAAAAAAAATCTACAAAACAGAAACAGAGTCAGAGATGTAGGAAACCATCTAATGGTTACTTGGGGAAAGGCAGGGGAGAGAGAAGCTGGGAGATGGGGATTGACACGCACACTACTGTGTATAAAGTAGAGGACTTCCCTGGTGGCACAGTGGGAAAGAACCCAGCTGCCCATGCAGGGGACGCACGCCTGATGCTGGCTCTGGGAGACCTCACGTGCTGCAGAACAGCTAAGTCCCTGCGCCACAACTGCTGAGTCTGCCTGCAGCAACCACCCAGGCCTGAGTGCCGAGAGCCCCTGGCCCACGGAAGAAGGGGCTCCGCGACCAGAGAAAGCCCACAAGCATCCAGGAGGATCCAGCACAGCCAAAAACTAATAACTAAAATAGATAACGAGTAAGGACCTACTGCACAGCACATGGAGCCCTGCTCGATACCATGTAATGATCTATATGGGAAAAGAATCTAAAAAAGTGTTGATACATGTATACGTATAACAGATTCACCTTGCCGTAAAGCAGAAACTAACATGACATTGTAAATCAACTATACTGCAAATTTTTTTTTAATTTAAAAGAAAGCACAGGAATTCATAACATTGTGATTTCCCCCCTCCAATCATTTCATCACCGTAGATAAAAACAAAGTGTTATTTTTCAGAAGAGATCTCCTAAAATGAAAGCAGAAACCCAGGCATTTCAAAGGTTTTAGTTAGTTGTTTGGGGGTCTCTACACTGATTATGAAGGTGTTCAGGAAACATCTGTCAAGTGGATGATCCAGTGAATGAAACTCCTTAATGTAGAAGCAGAGCTGGCTTCACAGACATGTGACCCATACAGTCACCCACAACTCTGGGCTGAGAAGGGCCCCACATGGAATAGCCCTGACCTCGGTTTACTGCTCAGCTGTCGCCATCTTCAATAATTTTTGAACCTAGGGCTCTACATTTTCATTTGGCCCTAGATACCCCTTCATCCCCAATTACGTAGCCAATACTGACAGTACAAGTCACTGTGCTGGGTGCTAAGTCACTTAAGCCGTGTCCAACTCTTTGCAACCCAGCGGACTATAGCCCGTCAGGCTCCTCTGTCCATAGGATTCTTCAGGCAAGAACACTGGAGTGGGTTGCCATGCTCTCCTCCAGGGGGTCTTCTCAACGCAGGGACTGAGCTCCAGTCTCTTACGTCTCCTGTATTGGCAGGCAGGTTCTTTACCACTAGTGCCACCTGGGAAGCCCAAGCCACTGAATATATTACAATTAATTTCTAGTCTCCTCAGTGCAATTTGGTAAAAGGTAACCAGGCACTGTTTTCTCTCTTTCTTTCCTTCTTTCTTATTTCTTTCAGTTTTTTCATTCATCCACACAACAATGCATATCTAAAGAATTTCTCTGTGCTCTCAAAATCCTAAAATCCTTTCAACTTTGCTGTGAAAATTATATACCATGTGTAAAGTACTGGGAAAATACTTCATGACAAATAGAAGGGGAAAAAGTGGAAGCGGTGACACATTTTATTTTCTTGGGCTCCAAAATCAATGCAGACAGTGAGTACAGCCATGAGATGAAAAGACGCTTGCTCCTTGGAAGGAAAGCTGTGACAAATCTAGACAGCATATCAAAAAGCAGGGACATCACTTTGCCAACAAAGTTCCATATAGTCAAAGCTACGGTTTTTTCAGTAGTCAGGTACGGATGGGAGGGTTGGACCATGAAGAAGGCTGAGCATTGAAGAAATAATGCTTTCAAATTGTGGTGTTGGATAAGACTCTTGAGAATCTCTTGGACTGCAAGGAGATCAAACCAGTCAATCCTAAAGGAAATTAACACTGAATATTCATTGGAAGGACCGATGCTGAAGCTGAAACTCCAATACTTTGACCACCTGATGCAAAGAGCTGACTCATTGGAAAAGACCCTGATGCTGGGAAAGATTGAGGGCAGGAGGAAAAGAGGACGACAGAGGATGAGATGGTTGGATGGCATCACTGACTCAATGGACATGAATTTGAGCAAGCTCTGGGAGATAGTAAAGGACAGGGGAGCCTGGTATGCTGTAATCAACGGGATTACAAAAAGTCGGATACAGCTCAGCAAATGAACAACAACAAAAAGTACCTCTGGGGTCTGCACATAGTAATGCTTGACTATTAATACTTCTGCAAAGTCACAGAAATGACCTTTCCATCTTGCCCAGTAATTAAACTCTAGGGAATTTTTTCTAAGAAAAATTAACAAAAGAATAAAACTCTAGGCACAAAGATAATCCTTCCAGGATCATCTGCATTTGTGTGTGTGTTTGTTTTTAATAAATGAATTAAACATGCTTGTTATCTGTAATAGAATTAAAGATGCTTGTCATCTGTAACTGGAGACAACCTAATTGTTCAACAGCAATGTAATATTGAAGGCAATGATGGTACATCAATATGATAGACTATTTTGAGGACATTAAAAATGATAATGATGAAAACAGCACAGGTACATGGAAATGCTTTTTTGTATAATATTATGCAAGAGAAACAGTACAAAAGGTCAGGCTTGCTCCATAATAACTGGGATTAGACTGGTTTCATTCACAGTGATCCATCTGACACCTAGTACAGAGTGCACACCAGGTGAGTATGTACTGAACAGACTCTAAAACCATAGGACCAGATCTGGAAGGTTGGGGGCAAACAATTTTCTTAAATACAGATGGTATTAAGAGTTTGGTTTTCCATTGTTTCTGCAGTAAGAAAGGAAGGAGTAAAGAAGAAAGGCAGGGAGGAAGCAAACAGAGGAGAAGGATAAAGAAGGGAGGAAGGGTCGGACTCAAGGCTCTTGTGTTTGTAAACCTTAAAGCCCCCATACAATAATGCTGAGAGCGATGATGCTGAGGTCACAGGGTGGCCTAGAGGGTGGGGGAGGGAGGGGACACGTGTGTGGGCTCAGTCGCTCAGTCATGTCCGACTTTTTGCAGCCCCAAGGACTGTGGCCCACCAGGCTCCTCTGTCCATGGGATTCTCCAGGCAAGAATGCTGGAGCAGGTTGCCATTTCCTCCTCCAGGAGATCTTCCCAACCTAGAGATCAAACCCGTGCCTCACATCTCCTGCCCTGGCAGGTGAGTTCCTTACCACTAGCACCACTGAAAGAACCTGCCTGCCTATGCAGGAGGCATAAGAGACAACACCGGCTCGATCCCTGGGCGGCAACCCTGGAGGAGGATGTGGCAGCTCGCTGCTGTCCCAGAGGGTCGCAGAAAGTCAGGCAGGATGGACGCATCTTGGCACACATGCACGCCACCTGAGAAGCCCTAGAGCTGCTGCATGTTGCGCATCAGAAACCAATACAACCTTGTACAGCAATTATCCTCCAATCAAAGCTTTAAAAATAAATAAATAAATAAAACGAAAGCACTTTCTTAACAACAAAAACCTCCTGAGCCTCTAACAGATAGCAGAGAAAACAAATAAAAATAAAACTCTCTGGCCTGATCCCTGGAAAGGAGCCACGTAGTCCCCTCAGGCAGACAGGTGCTGACCACCTGTCTGGAGCCACCAGGTGAATCAGCTCTTCCGGTTTAAAGGGAGTTTGCCTGGCACAGCCTCACCGAACCGAAGCATGTTCTCATTGAACTGTTGCCTGCACGGACCAACTGCCACGGCTCCATCCACAGAAATAATTAACATGCCCCTGGCAGCCTTTATTGATATTCGGTTTATAAAGTGGTGACCTAGAGAGGGGGCATCTCTGGCAGATTAATGGCTCACAAGGGTCATTACTGGTGCAGAGGCGCTTCCAGGGGCTACTGATTCCTTTCCACTGGTTGTTAGCCCAGTTTCCACTGCCAAATGCAAGGTGCACACAAGGGTCTCCATTAGCAGTTGGGATGTGCATGCAATAACAAGCTTTGCCTTCAGACACACCACTTTGCATTTTTCAAAGTGAGGAGAGAGGGACTTAGCGCTGGAATCAAATATTTATTTATGCTGGCAATCTTCACACAAAACAACCCTGCTCTGCTGAAACCCAGGACAAGTCTGCACTGCCACAGTTGGGAAGGCTTGCTGCCTGGTGCACCTCCGTTCCCTTTTTCCTCTTTGCAGCAGAACACCAATCATATTCTGAGCATAACCGAGCACAGCCAAGTGGTCACATCTCGCAGCTCTCCTTGCAGCAGGGTAGCCACTGATATATAAGCAGAAGTCACTTTGTAGAGATTCTGAGAGCCCCAGTGCCCCTCTCCCAGCTTCCCACCTGCGCACCAGAAGGCAGCTCGCGGCCTGAGGAGCTTGCGGAAGATGCTGGAGCCAAACGCTAAAGGCGCACGGTGCTGGCCAGCTTCCTGCAGCTGCGACACCAGCCTCGGGTGCCTACCTCCTACCCTCTTCTGCACGTGAGCGGGGAAAGCTGCCAAGAACTGGGAAGGGTCCAGTGTTTCACCTTCCTCGCAAGGCAGCCTGCTGGCCGGCCACAGCTTCAGGGATTCTGAGAGAAGGACCAAGACCCTCCTACTCCCAGCACAGCCCACAGCCCAAGCCTTGCGGGCCATCAGTCTCCTCTGTCCCCCCGGCCCCCAGCGCCCAGTGCCCTAGAGGTACCAAGGATGGATTCTGTGCACGCAGTAGCTTGGCATCACAGCTGAGGAACCCTGAACTTAGGGTGCCCGACCTTTTTATAACTGGCTGTGAGCAAACCTGTCTGAACATCACCCTGTAAAGAGATGTTATCTTCATTAACCCACACAGCAAACATGTCTTCCCTCTGCCCCAGGGGGAAACACTGTCCCTAGCTTCCAAAGCTGTTTGCAACAAATATCCTGCAGGAGATCCTCTGGAACAAAAGCTGCTCACAAACCAAGCAGAAATGAGGAAGACTGATGCAAAACTACCACCCAACAGGAACCATCTATTTTGTTGAAGCTAACGCTATCTGCAGTTTGTCACCTGCCACTGAGTGAAATTCCACGCTAGTTCTTTTTTATATATGTATACAATTTTATTTTTTTATTTCGGCTGTGCCGGGTCTTCACTGCTGCCTGGGCTTTTCTCTCTTTGTGGACCATGAGCTCTCGAGCAAGCAGGCCCGGTAGCTGTGGCACACGGGCTTCGTTGCTCTGAGGCACATGGAATCTTCCCTGACTAGGGATGGATCCCATGTCCCCTACACTTGCAGGTAGGTTCTTCACCCTGAGCACCAGGGAAGCCCTTCCTGCCAGCTCCTCCAGCGGCCGCGTCAGTGTTGTTTTCCTTTACACGGAATGGAGCGCAGGTCACGTGACTCTCCTGGGTGGACTAAGTCTGGAACCACACAGCTCGGTTCTGATCCCAAGCCCACCGTGCATTAGCTGTGTGACATAAGCAAGTGACTCAGCCTCTCTGGCCTTGCTTTTATCTCAAAGGTAGGAATGACACGAGCAGCAACCTCACAGCTGGGGTGAGAAGCACGAGTGTTAATACGCACAAAGCAGCAGGTGAGTGAAATGTGAGCCGCGTGCAGAGCAGAGCCGACGAGGGGAAAGCAAATCGGAGACTGGCCCCAGGTCCTCCACTGACAGCGGAGCTGGCGTGGAGTCAGCACCCCAACCTCTCCAAATGTCTTTATCTGCAAAACAGCACGGGGGTGAAGCGGGACAACGCATACAGAATGCACAGCACACTGCCTGGCACCAGGGCAAGCCCTTCACAAAACCCTGCTGTTACTGCTATTGTTGCTCATTTTGTGTTGGACTGAAATTTTGTTCTTTAATCATTTAGAAGCATTGGAAGACCTTTGTACTCCTTGCTTTATCTCATGAATACTTTTAGTCAAACATTATTAAATATCTCTGATTGCAGACCCCTTTAATCTTCTGGTTTCGTTCTGACAGAGGTCACCTGGGGTCATCCCAACCTCATCAAATTCTCAGTCAATTCAATTGCATCACAGAAAGACAGAGGCCCTCAGAGCTCACCATTTCTATGCTTCTGAATCCGTGAAAAAGATTCGGTCTTTTTCTTTTAAAAGGTCTCTGAACTCCATTTGTTCTAAATAATACTTTTTAAGAAGGATCCAAGTGCTAATTGAAAGCATTTCATTCCCTGTATATTAACTAAAAATGAGATCTGAAATTCTTCATCTACATTAAAATTCTCCTATGCTATTCACATCTTTAATGTGAATCTAACATACTGAAACAATGTCAGAAATTCTTAAGTTGGAAGATTTTATAGATTTTCTTAAAGTAAGATTGATTTGAATTATTTTTTAAATACAACATTTACTAGAATGTCACTATAGAATTTCTTCATTTCATCACATCTTTTTGACAGCTAAGAAAGGTCTCTTTCATCCTTCTAAATTAGATCCTTTAATAAATTCACAGTCTTGACTTGAGACAGGATGATTATATGACCAAAACTCCCAGCAGTAAGCTTATAATTAAGCAGTAATATTAATAGACAGTGAGCTTGGGCATGTGTTCCAATAAAGTGCAAAGATTTGAAAAGAGCTGAATACTGGGTAATAGGCGGAGTCCCCATTTATCCGAGCACTTGGGATGATACTTCAACCCAGCAAGCTCTGACAGGTGTGTCTGTTCCTTACCACTCTTTCTGACATCACTGAGCTGAATTCTCAGACTCGCCAAAATAAATCTTGGGCTCCTTCTGCTAATATATTTTTCAATTTCAGGACTACAAAAAAAAAAGAAAAGAAAAGAAAAGTAGCCCCAGGAGCTTTGAGGGTTGCCATTATTGATGCAAGGAGTCCAAGTATAAAATTATACCAGAGCCAGCACAGTTCAGTAAGCATTTCCCGAGGGTGGACAATGAACCATATATGCGAAGTTTTCCCTTCATCGTCTGACAAACTTCTACTCATCCTCCAAGGAATTCCAGGTGAACTTCTTCTAAGAAGCCTTCCTTGATTTCCTTTAGCCCAAGTGGAACAGGCATCCCTTCTGCGTCATCTCAGTGCCCTGAGCATAGCTCAGTCATTGCATTTGTGCCTTTCCATGTATCTTTTAATTTTTATATTATTCACTTTTATCCTTAGTACTCAGCACATGACTTAGAGCACAGGAGGTGCTCATGTAGGTGCTGTAACAACTCGTGTGTGCAATGTGCTCAGTCACTCAGCTGTGTCCCACTCTTCGAGACCCTCTGGACTGCAGTGCACCAGGCTCCTCTGTCTATGGATTACCCAGGCAAGAATACTGGGGAGGGTTGTAATTTCCTCCTCAAGGGGTTCTACCTGACCCAGGGATCAAACATACATCCCCTGCGCCTCCTGCATTGGCAGGCAGATTCTTTACCGCTGAGCCACTTGGGAAGCCCAGTTATTAATGTAACAGCGCCTATAAGAAAAACCTCTAGGAAGATTAACGTGAGAAGAGAAAACAAGCTAGAAGTAAGGCATGGGTGGAACTGCAGCTCTCCACGGAAGGCAGAGGCAGGTCGTGAAGTGCTGTGTGCCACATTATGGGCCAGGATGTGAAGAACAGTCGAATGTCTACCCAGCACAGAGGGGTGAATTTAAAAAGGAGAATGCGGTGAGTGAAGAATAGTGGAGGTTTTAGTAAAATGATCATTTTAAAAGTCCAGAAAGCAAAAGATCCTAGTTCCTTTCCCCCCTAATTCCTAAAGCGGTGTGTGCGTGCTAAGTTGTTTCAGTCATGTCCACCTCTGTGCGACCCTAAGGACTTCAGCCTGCCAGGCTTCTCTGTCCATGGGATTTTCCAGGCAATAATACTGGAGTGGGTGGCCATGCCCTCCAAAGGATCTTCCCGACCCAGGAGTCGAACCCGCGTTTCTTATGTCTAACTGCACTGGCAGGCAGGTTCTTAAGCACTAGCGCCACCTGGGAAGCCCTTTCTAAAGAAGGCCTGTCTTCAAACATGGCAGGATATGGCCACCAGTTTGAAAGCTGGAGAAATTTCAGTTTCCAGTCCAGGGTTCCAAGAGTGGTCTTCTCTGCTTATTCCCTAGTGATAAAAGGAAATGATCGCTGGCACTTACCTGGTGGTCACATGGCTAAGACTCCATGCTCCGGACGCAGGGGCCCAGGTTCGACCCTGGTCATGGAACGAGATCCCAAAGGCTGCAGCTGAAGGTCCTGCACACTGCGGTGACGGTCAAAGATCCTGTGCGCTGCAACTGAGACCCAGCACAGATGAATAAACAAATAGATATTAAAAATAAACAAATAGTCACCCACAAGCTTACAGGCTACAGCAGCAGGTATTTCTTCCATTTACTAAAGAGAAAGTCAGTTTTAAGGACCTCTGCCCCAGGAGGTTAACAGGAGAGTTAACAGGACCAGATTTACTCTCCAGGAAAAATATACAGGAAAAAATTGGTTTGTTCCAATTCATCTCCATTAAACCAGTGATGCCATCCAACCATTGCATCTTCTGCTGCCCCCTTCTCCTTCTGCCCTCAGTCTTTCCCAGCATCAGGGTCTTTTCCAATGAGTCGGCTCTTTGCATCAGGTGGCCAAATTATTGGAGCTTCAGCTTCAGCATCAGTCCTTCCAAGTTTAATATTCAGGACTGATCTCCTTTAGAATGGACTGGTTTGATCTCCTTGCTGTCCAAAGGACTCTCAAGAGTTTTCTCCAGCACCACGGTTTGAAAGCATCTATTCTTCAGCTCCCAGCCTTCTTTATGGTCTAACTCTCACATCCATACATGACTACTGGGAAAACCACAGCTTTGACTAGATGGACCTTTGTCGGCAAAGTGATGCCTCTGCTTTTTAATATACCATCTAGGTTTGTCATAGCTTTTCTTCCAAGGAGAAAGTGATGCTCTGGATCTGACTAAACAATACCGTAAGTCTCAAAAGGATTCAAGTGATTCCAAGTAACTTAATAGTATTTCAGAACAGAAATTGGCTTCCCTGGTGGCTCAGCTGGTAAGGAATCCGCATGCAATGCGAGAGACCTGGGTTCAATCCTTGGGTTGGGAAGATCCCCTGAGGAAGGGAATGGCTACCCACTCCATTATTATGGCCTGGAGAATTCTATGGACTGTATAGTCCATGGGGTCGCAAAGAGTTAGACACGACTGAGCACCTTTCACTTTAAGAACAAAAATCCAACACTATTTAAAGGAATATAATAAAATCAACTCCAGCAACCAGCAAATTAAAAGTCACAATATCTGCAGGAATAAACAGGTGACATTGCTACAGTTACTAACCAGATAAATGTATAATAAGGAAGTGTTCCAAATAATATTATGCTGTTAAATTTGACAAATCTGACAAAATGGACAGGTTCCTTGAAAGACACAAACAGGCATTACTCTAGAAAGAAAGTGGTAACCTGAATAGTCCTGTATCTATTAAAGAGTTATATCCATTGTTTAAAAATCTTTCCACAAGGAAAACTCCATGCCAGATGGCCTCACTGGTGAATTTTATACATTCTTTTAAAAAATATAAAACAAGATGATACATGATACATTTTAAGACATTTTAGAAAAGCAGCTTTATTAAGTTAGCAGAACGAAAAAAAGACACTATTTTTAAAAAGAAACTGTGTACATATGTATCTCATGTACCTGAGTGC